CACACACACACACACACACACACACACACACACACACACACACACACACACACACACACACACACCACACACACACACACCACCACACACACACACACACACACGCAGACACACACACACACACACACACACACACACACACACACATTTGATTATTACGGTATATGGTTATTATATCCCTCTCACATTTTTCTCATCTTTTTATATTCAGATCTAATTCTATATTTCTTTCTTTCTGCTATTACCCTGCCCATACCCATACCCCCCTCCCCCATGCTGCTATGACACCCACATTTACCCAAGGGGATCAATAAAGGAATATCTGATTGAATCATATCGTATCGCATCTTCAGTGCTTTGTTAACTTAATGTTACAATGGGAATGAAGATGTCAGACCTCAGAAATAAAGCTTTACTTCAATAAACTGCCAACCTGTGTGACCATGTGACTTTATCCAGGTCATCCATACACACACACACACACACACACACACACACAGCCGGTCTGCCACAATATATAGACTATTAATATATCCTGGGAATCACCACGATTGATTGCGTAGTAGGGGGTACTTTAGGTTGGCTTGAAATGCTTTGGGGGTACAGTACTCAAAAAAGGTTGGGAACCACTGTTCTAGTCTGTCTGCATCACCTGGAAACTTTAAACAAACATATGTATATGTAAAGTAACAATGTGTTGGTCACAGACTTTTTTTACATGCAAATGTCATGTGATAATCTTTTTGTTTTCCTTAAAGTGCTGGATATCAAAGCCCTTACTGTATCTTATCAGTTGGATTGTATATTATTGTATAGTTGGGGTCCTTTTTATTTTAGAATCGTTTTTCATGAGACAGTCAATTTAAATATTTGTACTATGCCATATTCACATTCATTTGTAACACACACGTAAGGGTAAAAGACAAACAACTTCAACAAATGTAATGCAATGAATAAGCTTCATTGTCACAGAAGCACACATAACGTCATATCTAATATTTAAACAAATCATTTCCTTGTCCCTAAAGCATTGACTGAGCTATTTTTCGTCCTCAAATGCAGGCATTAAGTTACATGTTCACGTTCTGCTGCCACAATAAATCGGTTTCTCCAGTGTTATGATAATAAAATGCTAAGTAAGTATTGGTAATAATATTAATAAAAACAACAACGTTTGGGTTCGTTCGTTTAATATGATGAACGTTAACCAGTAAGCTTCAACAATCAACTCCAGCTCAACAAACCATATTGCAATATCTACGTCAACGTTATTTCTGGAACCAACTGGAAATGTGAGATTCATATTTTTCAGATACACAGATTTTATAGTGAGGTTAATCTATGGGTTAATCTCATACAGTACTCTGCTCTTCAACACTAATGTGACGCTAGCTGTCTGCATCGTCGAGCATAGCTATTTTAAATTAACAATAACAATGCATTCTTTCACACACACATACAGGTTTTGGGCCGAGAGCGACACCGTACTTCCGGTATCAACCATTTCACACGAGGTGCATACAGAATATCATAGTCGATTGCCTTAATCAATATAGTCAACTCTAAAATACCACATATATGCATTGGCATGATAATATTATTGTGACAAGTGGGGTATTCACCTGGTGTTTCCAGAAGATAGACGTAGATGCAGCCAAAATCGACCGAAGGCCACTTTTGAGGGTCGTAATTCCATACATTGTACATCCAACAATCCACACAGCTCTAGTTTACGCTGGTAACGACCTAGAGCACACCCCTCAAGTCCAGAGATGTAATCCGAAGACATGCAGCGATTTCTTCGGTCGTTAATTCAGAAAAAAAACCTAGTGCGCTCTGCCTGGCTAGTTAGCTAGCTGTTTATATTAGCATTGCCAGGATCTTTGCACCTCCAGAAAAATGGCGTCTTTATAAAAAAATATATGGCGCGCGTTGCATTGTGGGTAGCTGTGACGTCACTGTGTGTGAAAGAATACAGTTACCTAACTAGCAAACTAACTAATGTACAAGCATGACCTTATTTGACCAACCTCACCGAGAAGCCTTATGTTCTACAGTATAATCCTTCTTAATGTTTTACACTTCTCTATTATGTTTTAACTTGTATGCTACAGATAGCATCGTTAGCACAGATGTAGCTTCGTCTCGCTTGTTCGCTGAATAAAAAGACAAGTAAGAAATAAAGTGCTTGAATTTCACTTACCGAATAAACTGCATTCATAGACGGTCTGTTTGAACCGCAGAGCCATAAGATAAGTGCAATATTTCAATGAAGAAGAATACTCCACCAGGCATCAACACAACAAACACGTCCGAGTAGCAGCCTGGAGCTAATGAAGCTAACGGGGCTAGCAAAGAGACCACTAGCAGATGACTTCCGTTACATTAGAATGACTTCCGTTACAGCAAGAATGACTTCCGTTACAGCAAGAATGACTTCCTTTACAGCAAGAATGACTTCCGTTACAGCAAGAATCCCCTCACACACACATAGGTGAAACACATGCACATTCCCTACTGAGAACCTTTCAGTAAAATGTTTTTCAGGAGTGTGTGTTGTTAGAAATTAAAATCAATGTTGGTATGGCGTAATTTGAATTAAATACACTATTTAATTTAAATCAGTTTTATTCTGAAAAACCGGAAGTTCACTAACTATTAACTTAATACTTTTATTCTGAAAATTATTCACTTCCGGTTAGCATTAGCATGTGGCGAAATGCTGCATTTTCAAACCGTGAATTAAAGGTGAAATTACATGTGATATTGTACACCGAGCACACTGGGATTAGCACTCATTTATTACCGCTGAATAACGTTTATAGGGAATGTTTAAATAACCACAGACACCAGAATGATATAATTTAACAACAGAAAAAGGCAGAAATTGCATTGGACCCACCCCCGACGACGCCGGCCAATAGCAGAAGACCTCCGATGACAACAGGAAGAGCAAGCCAAGAATTGACCTCTTTCTACCTGCTGACCTGGACTGACCGGTCGGATGAGGAGAGCGCCTCCAATCGCACATTTCATTTTGTACACCACCGCATCTTTTGTGTAATTAAATGCTGTTAACTTTTATAAGCTTCCCTTGACTCTTTTCAGTCTCTCCTGCCTTCAGGGTTCTAGAATACACTAACATGGCGTCCCTGGGTGGACTCTGAAGCGGGATAGAGTTGGAAAAGAGGGGAAGGCTGCAAGCTAACTAGCATCACACTAGGCTGCAGAAAACGAGTTTTTGGCTGGGCCTAAACAAAAGGTGAGACAGTGTTTAATTCCGTGGTGATTGCGAGTGGTGTGGAGATTGTATATAGTGTTTCTATTCGTCTCTGTTGTATCTTCGGCGCCGCCCGATTAATGTGAATATTACATAGTATTAAGACCTTCTGGGGAGGCACTAGATTTTATCTGGGATAGGACTGGGTCCACATTGTGTTAAATACCTCTGGGTAGGTACCAGACCTGATCTGTTTTACACTGGACTGGGTCCATTCATGTTAGTCTATATGTTTGATGTGTTAAACCTGCGTAGTCTGGTTTAATAACGTATATTGTGTGGAGTTTTTAAGCCAAAAAGTATATTTTTGTGTGTTGTTCTAAGCCGAAACGATTGTGTACAAGATTGGTATGAGATCAGCTTTTAAGGTCAGCATCTATTGAATCTAGAGCTAAGATAAATGAAGATTGTGTTTTGTATTGTCAAGCAGTGTGGTTTTGAGGCACATGGGGTTAATGCTATACTGCTAAACTAGTTAGCTAGCCAGTTAGCATTACTAGATGGTGAAATACTTCGAGTAAAGATACAACCGGTAACTACTGATTAAATACACAGGGATGGTGTAGATGAACGTTGAGAGTAGATTGAGTTGTTTTGTTTTTCATGCTTTTCAAAGAAAGTAATTTGAACTTTATATTTTGAGGAAATAAACAGGAAGTAGGTTTATGAACCGGAAGTACTAGTTGATACATTTGAGAGGAGTTACAAATAAAACAGCTCCCCTAGCGGACATAATAAGTATTACAGTTAATACATTCTTCACCACACAGATAAAGATTACATGTGGTTTCTTTGAATTGAAGTATTGTGGTTAACACATTTTGTGACATTTGCATAATTTCATAAACTTGAGTATACACTGTACACGGTTTATTTGGATTTGCACGATATTCCTATTTTCATATTACAAAGTCAAAACCATACACTTCATTTTCATTTATTTATTCAGATTTTTAAAATGTGCATAATTTCAAAATTTTAATTTAATTTTTCTAATTTTGATTTTCCAATCTCAGTTTTACAACATTTACATTTATTTTTCCAAATTCTGTAAAAAAAAAAAAATTACCCGATTTTAAAGTTAAGTTCAGATGACATAGGATATCTTTATAAAGAATACAAGGGTACTATTCAGAGGATTAGTAATTCATTTTGATAACTTAATAATATTATCCGTGTACTTAAGAAACATGTCGCCAGAGTTAAGAGCACCCACAGTGCCAGGCACAACTGCAGATATTAAGGAGAGATTAAACATCAGATCAGATGCTTTAACGTTTCCAAGTCGTAGACAGAAGACATGGAACCAAATAGAGAAACTGTTGGAACAGTGGCAAACGAGAGGATTGATTCCAGCAGATGATCAACCGGCACCAACGAAAGCCCATAGAAAAGCTGTAATTGACTATGAGAATGGAGAATACTTGCGACAGCAACAAGCATGGATCAAAGCCGAACAACCCCCTTGGTATGGACCTGCTAAAAGCGCTATGAAAAAAGAAAAGTTAGGGTTACATGTCTGTTAATCCATCTGACATCCATCGCAGAAGATCTGCCAGTAAATGAAGACACAGCAGAAATGACAAAAGAGGCTCCACTTATCCAAACTCCAAAGCAGTATCCAAGCCTGACCGAAGTGTCTCCTCCAGACATATCAGAGAACAACCCTTCTCACCAAGCTTCGATTCAAGCCCCAAATGAGAAAGAATTGGCGTATGAGGTAAGAAAACTATCCAGTGTCAACCAGCTGATGGAAGAACTCGACAGAAGAATGGAAGCAGAACTCGGCAGAAGAATGGAAGCAGAACTCGGCAGAAGAATGGAAGCAGAACTCGGCAGAAGAATGGAAGCAGAACTCGGCAGAAGAATGGAAGCAGAACTCGGCAGAAGAATGGAAGCAGAACTCGGCAGAAGAATGGAAGCAGAACTCGGCAGAAGAATGGAAGCAGAACTCGGCAGAAGAATGGAAGCAGAACTCGGCAGAAGAATGGAAGCAGAACTCGGCAGAAGAATGGAAGCAGAACTCGGCAGAAGAATGGAAGCAGAACTCGGCAGAAGAATGGAAGCAGAACTCGGCAGAAGAATGGAAGCAGAACTCGGCAGAAGAATGGAAGCAGAACTCGGCAGAAGAATGGAAGCAGAACTCGGCAGAAGACAGGAGGAACTCGACAGAAGAATGGAAGAGGAGCTCAACAGAAGAATGGAAGCAGAACTCATCACAGGAATGGAAGAGAGACGAAAGGCAGATGAAGCCCATAATGATATTATTGCAGAAAGACAAAGGGAGGAAGATAAATACCAACAACTTCTGGCGGAGAGACGACAAGACGATGTAAGATTCCAGGACATGATGGCAGATAGACAAAGGAGAGAACAAGAAGAACGAAGAACTCAAAGAAAACGCCGAACAAACTACTCTCCTGACTATTCCAATGGACGGGGAGATGAAGATGACGACAGCGGTACACAGTCTGAAACCAGTAGACACTCCTCATACCATGAACAGTCACAGCAACAACGCAGTTTTGCATCTCCTCCTGAGAATAATAGTAGCGACGAAAACGAGCAACATTACCCTGGGACATGCCCCAAAACTAGAAGAACCAAGACCGGTGCACATACCTCCATGCCATTGATAGCGGCTGGAAGAGGAGGATTTCAATACCAATCATGGACTCACAGGGACATGGAAGCATTAGTGTCAAAACTACCTCCACTCACGAAAGGAGGTCAGAAGTGGGTGAATGATCTGGAGAAGTACACGGTCCAAGACCACCTGTGCTTGGGAGACATGAGGGCCCTGCTTGGACGGATAGAAGGAAGAGGCAAGAGCAGTAGATTCCGAGGCCAATTGCACGCACGACCCAGATGAAACTTAATTCAACAATATCAGGTCGAATTATTGGGCTGCTATTCGTTACATCTACCCGACAACACGCAGTTTACATGCCCTCAACAGCCTGAGAAAAGAACCGGGGGAAGAAATGCATGCCTTCTTGAAGAGATGTGAAGGAGTGTGGGAGGACTGCACTGGAGAACGGCATGACATTTCTCCGGCTGTTGTAATGTTGTGGAAGAACGCTGTCATTAAAGCCCTTCCCCGATCAGTGCAGGCAGGCCTGGGAGACATGGTGGGATTAGACGCTAAACCCATTGAAGAATGGAGACTACATCTCATTCACCACGATATGAAATACCAGGCAACAAAGGGGGAAAATTATGAAGAAATTAAAACACTAAAACTAAGACTTTTGAAGATACAAGTAGCTGAGAAAGATGCCGAAGCTAATAAAAACAAGAAATCGACAAAGCAGATGGCCATACTAGCAGAGAAGGCAGGGCGGACACCTCCAACAGTTCAACAAAGCGGAGGAGGAAGTGTATGTCCACAAAACCAGGTTCAGCAGACACCTGTGTATCTTCCTACGCAAGTACAGCCACAAGCACCACAGTATCTTCAACAGCAAATACCTGTGTATCTTCCTAACCAAGTACAGCCACAAGCACCACAGTATCTTCAACAGCAAATACCTGTGTATCTTCCTACCCAAGTACAGCCACAAGCACCACAGTATCTTCAACAGCAAATACCTGTGTATCTTCCTAACCAAGTACAGCCACAAGCACCACAGTATCTTCAACAGCAAATACCTGTGTATCTTCCTACCCAAGTACAGCCACAAGCACCACAGTATCTTCAACAGCAAATACCTGTGTATCTTCCTACCCAAGTACAGCCACAAGCACCACAGTATCTTTAACAGCAAATACCTGTGTATCTTCCTAACCAAGTACAGCCACAAGCACCACAGTATCTTCAACAGCAAATACCTGTGTATCTTCCTACGCAAGTACAGCCACAAGCACCACAGTATATTCAAGAGCAAATACCTGTGTATCTTCCTACCCAAGTACAGCCACAAGCACCACAGTATCTTCAACAGCAAATACCTGTGTATCTTCCTAACCAAGTACAGCCACAAGCACCACAGTATCTTCAACAGCAAATACCTGTGTATCTTCCTACCCAAGTACAGCCACAAGCACCACAGTATCTTCAACAGCAAATACCTGTGTATCTTCCTAACCAAGTACAGCCACAAGCACCACAGTATATTCAACAGCAAATACCTGTGTATCTTCCTACCCAAGTACAGCCACAAGCACCACGGTATATTCAACAGCAAATACCTGTGTATCTTCCTACCCAAGTACAGCCACAAGCACCACAGTATCTTCAACAGCAAATACCTGTGTATCTTCCTACCCAAGTACAGCCACAAGCACCACAGTATCTTCAACAGCAAACACCTGTGTATCTTCCTACCCAAGTACAGCCACAAGCACCACAGTATCTTCAACAGCAAACACCTGTGTATCTTCCTACCCAAGTACAGCCACAAGCACCACAGTATCTTCAACAGCAAACACCTGTGTATCTTCCTACCCAAGTACAGCCACAAGCACCACAGTATCTTCAACAGCAAATACCTGTGTATCTTCCTACGCAAGTACAGCCACAAGCACCACAGTATATTCAACAGCAGACACCTGTGTATCAGGGTTTCCGCTAGGATTCTCGCCGGTCAAATGTCCGAACAGAATTTATTTTACCGGACAAATTTGAAACTTACCGGTCATGTTTCAATAATAATAATAAGAGTTGTGTAGCAGAGTTTCCGTTGGCAGGTAATTACCGGACTATGACCGGATATGCTGAGGTTTAAAACTCAGTTAATGGGAGTCATTTTTATATTGCTTCAGTTTATAATCGTAACAGATCGAAAAATTCAGATTCATTTTTCAATAAATGATTCCACAAACAACATAATTATTACATTCAAACAAACTACTTGTAGTAGCCTAGATGAAGTACATTATTCAAAAGTTTACATTAACTTAAGAAGAATAACACGGGAGAAACGGATCCTCTCTTTTCCCTTCTCTCCTGACAGCCCGTCAGTTTCTCATGCAGCGCACTAAACAGTGGGCGGGGCTTCAGGTAATTATGGAGCAGCTGATCTGATCTCTCTCTCACGTCCGGTTATACTTCACTCGCGTTTATGTCCATATCGATCAGATCCAGCTCTCCTGATCGGCCGGCAATCGATAGGAGCATCGGACATTTTGACCGGCAAGTTTTGAATTTACCGGTTTTTATTACATTTTACCAGCTAAAAACCGGTAATTACCGGCTAACGGAAACCCTGCTGTGTATCTTCCTACCCAAGTACAGCCACAAGCACCACAGTATATTCAACAGCAAATACCTGTGTATCTTCCTACCCAAGTACAGCCGCAAGCACAGGTATACACTCCCATACAGCATCAACAAAAGGGACAATGGAGAGGAAAGCAACGATCAAGAGGAAGAAGGGATGATGGCTGCTTCATATGTGGAGATTGTAGACATCTGGCCAGAGATTGCCCCACTCAGCAATATCCACCACAAGGTAGCACCTCACAATACAGAGGAGAACCAGTGTTGGATATCAGAAATATTGAAGCGGAAGCATATGCCAGGGCCATGACGAATATTTCTGTTGGATCAGGTGATTGGGTAAATGTAAAAATCCACAAGATGAACTTGTTGCAACCTGTATGGAGTGGACCATGGGAAGTTGTAGAACGCACTGCAGATGCGCTCCGGATCAAAGTTAAAAAAGGAACATGTTGGCACCTTCTTACACATTGTGTAGCCGTACCGCCACCTTTCCAGAAACGGCACGGCAGTTAGAACTGATTTTGGAAAACTGGTACAAAAAACAATAAGGAATTGAACATATTTTACAACGACAGCACCAGGAGATGAGTAAACTCAAGAATCTGTAGTGTAAATACATTGAGAAAAACACATTTTACACTCGAACTGTTTGCACATCATAGACAAGGAATTTAGACAATATAAATAAATGTTCAGCAAAAGTAATAAGTATGGTGGAAAGTAGACATAGGCCTACACTTGATTCAAATGTCATTACTGTGATCCGATTGGTGTGCTCTGCAGGTTTACTATTGTTCGAAGTAACAGTGGGATTTAAAATGTTGGAGAAAATATGGAGATGTTCTTTCGTAGTGTGTGGAATATGTGATGCTGGAAACATGTAAGTATTTCAGAGTTGTGTTGGGTAAATATGTAGCAATGGATGAAACCATTTTTAGAGTGAGTTTTTGTAATATCATTAGTATACATTAATTATGTTGTTTAGATGGCATTTAACAACTAAGACAGATAGTATGATTAGAAAGAGACAGAGTGGAAAGGGTTGGATTTATTTAACCTCAGTGTGCAAGACTTCTTATAGGTAATGCGTCCCGAGACCTGGACTCCCCCTCTGAGTTAGAAAGGCTACGATCCCGACCCTCCAAACAGACAAAATACCTAACCCAACAGGAGACTCCTCCTTCGCCATCGAACAGACAGAGAACCAGAGCTGAAACAACAACAACAACAACAAGACTGCAGCCAGAACTATCTCCACCTGTGGCATCCAGAACCAAACAGCATGCTGACATACAGAGAGATACTCTCATCAGCCCCTCAGACAGGGCATGAAGTTCCAAGCTGAGCCACGAGATTTGGCACACGAGCAAAGTGTGGGACATGAGAGCAGAATCCGCCCTCCATAAAAACAGCAGAGAGACTGTGAAAGGAGGAGATGAAATGCAAAGCAGTACAAGAACAGTGGCATGATGGGGGCTGCAGATGTGACTGGGCCAATGGCTGCCTAAAAGAGTTACAGCGGATGGATTCAACAGCTGATGGACTGAAGAGAAGACAGAATCAGAGGAGTTGGCATGGTCGATTAGAAGTGAGGAGGCCGGGGTCACGGCTTGAGAAAACCAGGGGAGGAGAAAAGGAGAACGGGAATGAGTGAGTTTACACATAAACACACTTATTCACAAAACGCACATTTAAATAACTTGAATTAACTTCATAAAGACAGAAAGATTTATTAACCATGAATTAATCAATTGGTAAATTAAAAATAGCAGTAAAGAGGAAAATATTAAAGTAAAATGAGAATCATCCTAAAACACACTGAGGGATAAAGGGGGAGACATGACAGAGTAGAACCATATTCTTCAATATTTACATCATGTTAACAAATCATTCTTTAAGAGATTTGTATTCACGTGTGAATAAAGTAGTGATCTCATTTGTTACAATATTGATCACCATTAAAAGGATAGTTTTAGGAACCACTCTATCGGACACATCTTTATTTGTATGGATAAGGTTAAAGGGAGAGCTGGTGCCAAGCCACATATTAAATTCCAATCTAAAGTGTTGATTTCACCATTGTGGCATAGTTATTACCATAGGAGGGCTTTAAGATGGAAATATAAAACGACTTCTGTTTTAAATCCTTGATAAAGGAGGGAGTAATTGTTGCATGTTCGGACACCCAAGGTTCCACACACTGCTAAAGAGTTTAACATTGTTTTTTAAGTAGACCAGAATTAAAGATAAATGAGTATACTGAGCTATGAAATGCAGAGCGACACAGATCCTAGTAATGTTTTGACTCAAGATAATAGTTATGTACACAAGTTTCTGAAATAGATCATTAGACATTTTAATACTAATTAGGTGTAAATGGATTGCAGTAGTAGTAGTACTCTAAGGAAGTGAGTTTTGTACCAAGTTTCAGGAAAGGTGGGAGGCAGAAGTCCCAATGAAAAGTTAGAACCATCTTGAAAATCATAGTTGAAATCGTGAATGAATAAGGAATGGCGCTCCGCATATGATATATTTTTGTAGATAAAGGCTATGCTGAATTACCTCTGAAAAGACTCTGCAGAGCACGACATGGCCAAAAGACCGAGACCAAATTACCTTTGACCCTGACTGACAGTGTGACAAAAGCACTGTCCATGACTGACTCTGGGGTGAACCTGACATGACAACCAGACAGTGTGAGTGTGAATGAATGCCGGCATGTGATCAGTGTAACTGCATGATTCTAAAACAATAACTAACCAAGCATGTTTTTGGACTAACATATTATTTTGGAGCTCCAAGGGAAACGAGAGGTTTCCTAAAAATTCCACAAAAGGGGAAACCGCACATGTGACCCGTTTCTAATCTACTTGATATTTTACTCCCACAGGAGTTGGCGGTTTGCAAATGTAAAACTAAAATCTGAAGGACGGAGAGAAACACTTCTTTTCACTGAAGTGTTTACTGTGGAAATAATGATAATGGATGTAAAATTGTAAACAATGTTCGCTATGTCCCTAACCAATTACCTGACCGTTGTTTGTTCCCCTCCCATTACAGGCTTTTGTTACACATGAGTTCATGTGTGAAAAGGGGGGAGTGTGTATAATGTCAACATGGCTGTAAAATTCACAACTTACATTTTTCTTTTAAGGATTGACAGAAACCTTCCGCCCCAACCCAGATGTTCAAACTGAGCATTGAATGTAATTAACCTGCTCCATATCTGGGGATAAGATACTGTTTGGTGAATGTTGAGATGTTTCTAAATATTGATTGAATTATAACAGGTAACACAGAAGCAGAAGCAGTGGCCAAGGGGCTACTGTGAGAGATGTAATTACCGTATAGAATACCGAAGAAGTTGACCTGTGATAATTAAACCATTTTGTAATATTTTAACAGACATTAGAGTAACTGAGGTTTGAAATGTAGAAAGAACATATTACAGTTAAGCTAAAACATAGTAATGTAATGAGACCGAATTTAATTTAGACAACATCATGTAACTAGCCTGGTAAAGAATTAGAAGTAAAAGCCAAAGACTTTATTGTTTAGTTCATTATGGGGATATACATTTAATTTAAATTCATAATGAAAAGACATTTGATGACAGTATGTTGGAATTCTGTATTCATTTTTCAGCTTAATAATAGACAGGTAGAAGCCGTATTGCCAGGTGCAATCGATGGGATTTCTGCACACGATCCAAGCAGAGAATGACGTACCTTACAGGACAGATACACTCAGGAAATCATTCACTCTGACAGCATCATGACTTTAGTTGTTTTTGAATCCATAATGAAATTGTATTACATAACGTTAGTGTGTGTCTTTACCACAAACAGGAATAGTTCATTGTTATATTTAGATTTGAGAAAGATTACAAGGATTTTTATTTAGTTCACCATGAAGATGTTTTTTGTTTGTAACATATGCCCAGTAGTAAGATTGAAATATCAGCAGGTTCTGAATTATTATTCCTCTGTCCCACAACCAACAAGAATGTGGATGGGGGGGGGAACTATATCTACTAGAACCAGCAGAGATTCATAAATTACACCAGAGACACAGTAAAAGTAAATAAAGAGTCATATTTAGCTATTTTCAGATAGTTTAATCCTTTTTATACTTTGTAAAAGAACAAGTGCCTTTACACCAGATACAGTAAGAAGATGATTTATGATGTGAAAGGAGGGAGTTAGACGTTTTCCATACCAAGCTAATTGCTGCTATTTTACAAAGTGACATTAAAGGTTTAAGCTAGAAGTTATGCACAAATGAAAAACTTCATATTTATGATGAATATGTATTCTTATTTGTATTTTGTTTACTTTTATGAGTTATGTACCATGCAATGTTCGGATGAAGAACTAATTGATTTCAATATTATTTACATACCTTAAAGGGTATGTAAGGAGGGATTGTTAGAAATTAAAATCAGTTTTATTCTGAAAAACCGGAAGTTCACTAACTATTAACTTAATACTTTTATTCTGAAAATTATTCACTTCCGGTTAGCATTAGCATGTGGCGAAATGCTGCATTTTCAAACCGTGAATCAAAGGTGAAATGACATGTTGTACACTGAGCACACTGGGTTTAGCACTCATTTATTACCGCTGAATAACGTTTATAGGGAATGTTTAAATAACCACAGACACCAGAATGATATCATTTAACAACAGAAAAAGGCAGAAATTGCATTGGACCCGCCCCCGACGACGCCGGCCAATAGGAGAAGACCTCCGATGACAACAGGAAGAGCAAGCCAAGAATTGACCTCTTTCTACCTGCTGACCTGGACCAGAGCCATATAATAGAAGAGTTACGACAACGGAAGTCCAAAAACGGTTATCGCCACGTGGTTCATGTAGAAGAGGATCGTTCCCCGGAAGTTCATGGGGGGAATGTGAACGCATTGATAACAGGAGATAGAACTACGATTTTTGGTAATTATTAGTGAATAAAGGTTTTGATTTGCAATATGTATACAACAAATCGATATGTGTATGTATTTACATCAATATGTTTTAAAAAATAAAATAGAATTTGCTAATATTAAGTGATAATATTAGGATTAGTGTGAACAACTAGTTTACATGTTAGGCTGCCTTGGTTAAAGAGCCTGTTGCTGTTTATTTATAGCTTTGAATTCTTTCAAACCAATATTCTCTTCTTAAACTTGTATGGTAGTCAGGAGCATCACTTTCTAATGTTTATTGATATATTTAGAGGGAGGGGATCTAAAGTAATGCTTTAAAATTCAGATTAGATTCATGTCTACCATTTTCTAAAAGTCATGGTAGTTTCAGTAACCATGGTAATTGAGGAAGTTATCTAAATGACTAATGTCATCTTTATGGCTTTCAGAAAGGACAGGTGACTATCAAAGGACTAGCAGCAGCATGATGATGATGATGATGTTAAATGTGTTGTTTTAGGAACATCCATTGCAAATACATGGAATTCAATAAACATTGAATAGCATAGCATGCAGTTTGTCTGTGCCTTTTCCTCCTTGTTGTCCTGGTTTGCTGTGCTGCCTCCTAGTCTGCACCATGGTGTGCTGTGCTGCCTCCTAGTCTCCACCATGGTGTGCTGTGCTGCCTCCTAGTCTGCACCATGGTGTGCTGTGCTGCCTCCTAGTCTCCACCATGGTGTGCTGTGCTGCCTCCTAGTCGCCTCCTAGTCTGCACCATGGTGTGCTGTGCTGCCTCCTAGTCGCCACCATGGTGTGCTGTGCTGCCTCCTAGTCTCCACCATGGTGTGCTGTGCTGCCTCCTAGCTGCCTCCTAGTCTCCACCATGGTGTGCTGTGCTGCCTCCTAGTCGCCACCATGGTGTGCTGTGCTGCCTCCTAGCTGCCTCCTAGTCTCCACCATGGTTTGCTGTGCTGCCTCCTAGTCTCCACCATGGTTTGCTGTGCTGCCTCCTAGTCTCCACCATGGTTTGCTGTGCTGCCTCCTAGTCTCCACCATGGTTTGCTGTGCTGCCTCCTAGTCTCCACCATGGTTTGCTGTGCTGCCTCCTAGTCTCCACCATGGTTTGCTGTGCTGCCTCCTAGTCTCCACCATGGTTTGCTGTGCTGCCTCCTAGTCTCCACCATGGTTTGCTGTGCTGCCTCCTAGTCTCCACCATGG